ATAGACACAGACGTCATGTCTGCATATAGATATGATACAGCACTTTCCCTTTCGACTTCCCTTGAAACGTGACAAAAGGAAAACAAATCCAGAGAATTCTTGCAGTGAAGAGTATTATTCTAAAAAAAAAAAATCAGATTGCCTCAGAAAGATCCCGAAACTTGCAGAAGGTTTTCTCGACCACCACTTGTTTCGTCTAGACGTCACAAAAATAAACGCACCGCTGAGAAGTGAAGGGTCTCAAAACAGACGATTATGCATGGTTCAATTCTAGCTGTTACCATACCGTCCTGGGCAACCCTCGGAACCGAAGTCCAGTTCTGCGGGTCCGGGATGCTCCAAAGTATAAAACATATTTGAAGGTCTTAGGACCATTCTAGGATGGAATAACTGAAGGTATTGAAACAAGAATTGTAAACAATTTTGCCACTACTGAGTCTCCTGGCTTTTCTCTGTACTACAGAAACACATGACAAGACACAACACATCTTGACAAGAGGTCTTGAGATTTTCACTTTTCTGGCAAAAATTTGTTTACGATTAAATTTTTTTTTTTTCGGCTAACGTTTAAAGTTTTCCAATTATTGCACTTCACAGCTAAATGTTTGCCCTGTTTTAAGGCTAACAGTTAACTCTATTGAGATCCTAATAAAATCTCTTTGATATCTACAGCTGAGAATTCACGATGACGACAAAGACAGATCGAGACGTCGCCAAGCGATTGGGCAGGGTTTTGTTAAAGAACGAACCAAACTGGATTACTGGAGATCTAGGGAACTATGTGAATGATGCACACAAAAGCCCACTCCCTACAGTGGCTATGTTTCAAGCCCCCAGAGAACCTGAAAAAGTCAAAAAGCATAAGATTGAAGAAGAGCAAGGACCTGTTCAACAGAGCGATCTTTTAAAACCACTGTTGATGGATATCGCCAGAGAGGGCCTAAATTACGCTTTTCAAAAATGGATCCAGAATATGGAGGACCCTGAGCGGCATTCAAAGACGCAAAAGCCGAAGAAAGTGATTGTGGTTGGAGCCGGAATGGCAGGGCTAGTCGCTGCATTTGAGCTGGCGCAAGTTGGACACGACGTGACAGTATTAGAGAGCCAGACGCGAGTAGGAGGCAGAGTTTACACCCTTGGGGAAAAAGATGGTTTTGCAAAGGGACTCCACGCTGAGGGTAAGCATAAAAGTCGATTGAGAGAGACGTGGTTATATTCTTCCTATAAACTATCATTAATGATTGGTTTCGTAATCCTTTCGCATTTTTTAAATTTCATTTGCAGCTGGTGCCATGAGGCTACCATGTCTCCCTGATGCGAGGACCAAGACCCATTTTCTCACAGATTTTTATGCTTCTGAGGAGCGGTTCAACCTACCCTTGGCACATTTTGCCAACTACAGTGAGAAAGCTTATCTCAAGTTTTATAACGAAAACGCTGTTCGTATAGAAGGTGAGCTTTATAGTGAAAGGTAAAGTCTGCATACGAGCCAAGGGGGCCCCATCAGGCCGAAGCTTATCCCGGTTTCTGTAGCATGAAGCTACTGAGAGTATTTCTACTCCCCCCTGGATGGGATGCTAGTCCATCGGAAGGGTTACCTCCGGCATTAAGTTGGCCGGTAGCCATTTACACACCTGGGTGTAGAGAGGCTCCGAGAGAGTAGTGTCTTTCTGACAAGTTAATAAAATCTACCAGTTAATGTTCCAATGTCAAACGTCTTCCTGCAAAGTCAGATGTAGCCCTCCCTCGGCCAGGGGTAGCCTTGTAGTTTAGCAAGTTTATCTCTTCAAGAGTGAAATTGAGTTTTAGAATTTGGCGCTATAAACTGAAGTGTAGTGGCCTGGCCTTACAACACGTCGCTTACTTACAGCTAAACTTAGGTAAATTATGTAAATGTAAATTATGTAAAGGTAATTCCCAATTCATGTATTCAACAGAATGGAATAAAGATCCTTTGACCTGGATGAACAAACTTTGGCCTGGATGGGATGCTACCTTAATAAAAAATGAAGTGAAAGACGTCACAAGTATCGGTAAGTTTAAAGCGCTGCAGCTGTCTAAGGTGGTTGCAAACTTCAGCACCATAAGTGTATTCTACAGCCACGAGAAGTGAAAATTTTCTAGCCCCTGAAAACGCCTAGGCACTATGAGATCCTCGACTGTTGTACACACCATCCCCAAAACATGTCTTCCTTGCTTTTGACACACAACGGAATCCTGCAAAATTGTACAGCCCGAGGAAAGGCAAAAAGACCCAGAAACCGTCCGAATGAATGATTGAAAAACGAGTTTTAATTGCCTTTGTTCGCCACCTAAAATGCGCCGCATCTAAAAATATATTCAAAAACAAAAGACTAGGTTATAGAGCATAAAACCACCTAATGTCCTCAGAACAGGGAAATTTTTATACAAAATTTCTCTTCTGGACTGAAAATCACGATCGACTTTCTTTAACCTTTTTGTTCGATACAACTTCAAAGTGCCTTTGTTAGTTTAAAATCATTTTGAATCAGCTTTGTCTAGATGATAGCTTTAACTGGAACTTCATCTTCATCTAACTGCAGGTGAATATTACAATATTGCAATCGCACCACTTAAGTATCTTCAAAGTAGCTTTGCGAGTTTAAAAACATTTTGAATTAGTTTGTCTAGATGGTATCTTTGACTGTAACTTTATCTTTATCTAACTGCAGATGAATATTATAATCGCACCACTAAAGT